CCATGAAAGAACATCATCAATGAGGCGGTAAGTGAAGGCGTATCGCTGAGCAGCTTGGGGATCATGTTGACGAATGTTATCAATAAAGCGTGCTTCATCCCAATAGAGCGTTAGATTGGAAATTTCTGGGCCAGCATTTGTTCCCATTGGAATACCAATGATTTGCTTTCGAAGAGTGCCATCTCTAGTGTACAGAAAAGTGTTTTCTACAACAAAGCGAAGATGTTGGAAAATCTGAGAAACGGAAAGGTTGTCTGGTCCTGAATCGGTTGTCCATTGGCCAGAGCAAGGCCCGCAAATGAACATGTTCAAGGCTCTGCAGCGCGAATGCATGCGGGTATGCTGACGAGCATAAGCATGAGCTTCATCAACAACCTTTGCCACATTATTCAAAATGCGGTCATGAGGAAGGTTGGTGTACACTGTGGTGAAATCAACCGTGCGAGGAGAGAGGCCACGTAGAGAGGACACATTGTTTTTCAGGTCAATCGCCACCTCATCGGCACTCTGGACGATCCAGCACCGTCGAACACCTTCCTGTTGATAGAGCTCAGTGTCTTTCTCACGAAGAGTAGAGATCACGCCTTGCAAAGCAGTGCTGAGACAGGGCGAAGTAGCCGTTGTGCTAGCCAAGGGTTTGTGAGGAGGCCGTTCATGAATGGTGCGAATAGAAGGACGAGAGCGAGTGCGTAGTCAAATAGAGCTGCCCGGTAAACCATAGGCAGAGAGGGAGAAGAGGACAACAAACGAGGGGCTGTGGCAAACTGTTTCATCGGAGTTTCACCGACTCATCAAGAGGCTGAAGGAGGCCGGGAATCCCTCCACATCTCAACCCGGTAGACTGGGGCCATTACCCAGATTAGGCTCAAACTGGAAACCGGGTCCAGTGTCCCTTTCTCCTATCAAATGACATGCTATTTCTGAAGAAAGACAAAACTGGAATAACAAAAGATAAAACAGCAATAATGGAAAGAAACTGCCAACCATGATGCATTTACCTTGCATTTTTTTTATTTTTTTTTAATTAGACAGGACCCGCAAGGACCCAATGCGAAGAGAAAAGAAGCTTCTAATTCCTATGCCTTTAACCCTAGTTAATCTTATGTACCTTTCCTAGCTATGAGGACTCTACTTCAGGCCTAACACTGTTGCTATCCTACCCGTACTTTCAATTAGCCCCACTTAAGCCCTAAACCCTAGTTAGATCTTTTTGGACTTTTCTACCTATCAAAAACTTTGGAATCTCAATGTACTTTTAAATAATCTCCCTTAAAACCTAAACCTCAGCTAGATCTTTTTGAAATTTTTTACGTATCAAAGCATTGGAATCTCAATGTCTAGCCCTCCACTAGTGCCAACCTCCCCTAAGCCAAGACCCTTTTCTGGAAATTCTCCATTAGAACCTTGGCTTGTAGTGGGTATGATCCCAGTTGCACTCCTCTCAGTAATGTAACTGTCAGATAATTGTGTTTTAACTAGAGTCGTTTGGGACACGCATGTTACTTCTAGGATAAAGTTGCACCTCCAAAACCCTATTTGCCCGAAT